CTCTTGTACTAGTACAGTACAGTACAGTACTGTACCCCGGTCCATTCCCGATTCCCCAATATCGTCGTTTATCCCAATCACGACGAAACAGATATTTCCGGAGCCTGTGATTCGGATTCTGGATCTTCCCAATCTACCATTCCATAACTCGTACTTGCACTGTATTGTCTGCACCTTGTGCATGATGTAATTAACGATTGCCGGGTCGGTCAGTTCAATTTATTCGATGCTGTGAGTGTATCGTTAACCACCGGTAAATTTAAGTGTGGCTGTGATGATGTATTGAACCCCACCACACCGCACCGCACACATTCCTTGGGGGGGTCACCGTGTCTAAATTGTGTGTGTGATCTCGCGCCCGTAATCTTTCCCTTGTCTGGAGGAAATAACTTGTACGAGTATTTAATCCGGTACCGGGGGTGAGTCTTTTTCTTTCAAGGAAAATGTGTGATTCGCCGTGCGAGTCGCCATGCCATGCCATGCTATGCTATGCGATGTGATGGAAGCCTCCAAAGGAACCAACTTATTCTCTCCCTCTTTCTAAAGATTGGAGGTCCATCGAGGCGGTGATCTGCCCTGGGGGGCGAAATCTTGAGTTACATCCATTGCCGTATCGTTACTGTACGAGTACAGTACTCGTACTGTACAACTTTTGTCTGTGTGTGGTGCAGTGTGGTGTGGTGGGGTTTCTATTAACTCGCTCGGTTGGGGCTGAGATACCGGTAGGTTGCTTTTTCTCTTTTGCCCATGTCCGGATTCTTTATCTGTGGAATTTTACTTGTATCATAGCTGGCCGGGTCATATGATTAAAGCGGTACAGTACCGGAAACCCTCCCATTTCGAAATAATAATTAAAAATGTACCGAGAGGGGGGATGAACTGGGATTCTCTTCTCGTATTTTTATTTATTTTTTTCCCTTTCAAATATATATTTATTATCGTATCTTACTTACTATTATCATACTTCTACCCCTCCATTTCTCAAAGGGAAGGGTACCGGTACCGGGACGAGTATATACCCGCTTTTCCATTGAAAAATGATGCATGCGCAGGGTGGGGAGAAAAGGTGAAAAATCTATTTTTGCACGCGCCCGTCCCTCCCTCCTCCGCTGTCAAAAAGACGGCATTTCGTGCATAGAAGCTATGTAATACTATGATATAATTGCTTTTGCATAGCCCATCGCTCATCGCCATGGTCCATCGAGTGGAGCATTCATTTTTTTTAATATTTTTTTTTTTTTTTAATATATTCTTCAGCCTCGAATGTAAAAATGTATGCACCATGATCTATAAAAGTGATCATCATCATGGTCATCGTCATAGCCATCATGGTCGCCATCTGCTCACTCATCACCGGCAATGATCGCGGCAGCCTAGCTCGTATCGTATCGTATCGTATCGTCGAGGAGGTATTCTCTCCTCTTGAAACAGAAAAAACATCATTTTCCCGCGCGCCATCTATCTAGACCATCTGCCGTGCTGCGTGATCTGGACACTGGGACAATTATGATATTACCCCCCCCCCCCCCCGATGCAAGCAAGTCTGCCGTACATACAGTACTCGAGTACTGTAAGTACGAGTACTTGCAGAGTAGAGCATGAACGTGGCTTTTGTCGAAAGTTCCGCCGGCGATGGGACTTTTTCGGTGGTGGTACAATGTGGTTTCTCGGTACAAGTACAGTAGTATCATATGTGTGAGTGTGATACCGGTGAAATGGACCCTTTGTTCTCCCCTGTTTTTTTCTTTTCTTTTCTTCGCGGGAAGACTTTGAAGCTAAAATAGGCGAAGGGATGAATCTCACTTTACTCCTACATGTACGAGTACTCGTGCTTGTACTGTACTGTAAGTGACTTTCTTTTCTTTTCTTGCGGGGCGGTTACCGTACAAGTACGAGTACTGTACCCTACCGTAGCCATGAAGTGGTTAATTACAGCTATGATACAATGGCTGCAAAGAGTAGCGATAATCCCGGATTTCATCATACCGCTAACCGGTACAAGTTGGAGTATCATAATTATCATATCGTGGACCACTTCAGGGAGGTGCGGGGCGGGGTTAAGGTGCTCGGGCATTGTATATGTGGTAGGTAAGGATCATGATGGAAAAAGGGGGTTGGAAGAAGGCGAATCATGAGGTATGATAATTCAATTCCTATGATATGATATTATGATACCCACCTGAGCTCCAACAATCCCTTATGTGTGTGATGCAGGGCGTGTTTTGTTTGTATCATACTGTACAGTACGAGTACTTGTATACTTACTCACCAACTTGCCTAACATTGCCTGCCCGCCCGCCCCATGCATAAAAAATAAAAATAAAAATAAAAAAAACTCGTGTCTCTCTTTCAACTCGTTAAATTCGAGAATGTAATCCGAGACATTGTCTTATTCCTATTTGCAGGGAGGTGGAGCTGGAAGCGCTAGAAGGAAGGAAGGGAGGGGAGTAACGTAACCCCCCTTCCTTTCTCACACAGTACTTGATACAGCTCTGCATTTTACCCTTTTCCCTTTGCATGAGATGGATAGGATAGGATAGGATAGGATAGGATAGGGTAGGGTAGGGTAGGGTAGGGTTTCGTCGTAAGGAGGTTTGCCTTTCGTGTCTTACTTACTGACTGGAACTTGTATGATACCAGCTGGGAAAATACATACATCTCTTCTCGCTCAAACGATACCACACTACAATTAATAATGATAAATAACAATAATAATAATAATTTTAAAACAGGAATGTCGAATCTTCAGTTACCGGTACCCCCCCCCCCCCTTCCTCCTCCCTTCCCCCCCCCCCCCTTTTTTTTTTCTTTTCCCCCCCCCCCGGCCGATACCGGAATCGGAAGGTGTTGTTGGATTATCATTTATTTATTTATTTATTCAATGACAATCATGCTCGTTGCCGTTTATCAACCATGTTATAACCGTAATTGGCTGGTTGGTACAGTACAAGCACAGGTAGGTTAGTTGGTTGTAGCTGAAGATGTCTTCATATTCAATCATGATATATCACGGGAAGGAGGAAGGAAAGGGGGTTAAAAAAAAAAAAAAATTTCCCCCTTTTTGAGAAAAAGGAGAAGGGAGAGAATCCTTTGGGGATGCTTTCTTTTTCTTACTTTTTTTTTTTTTACCATTCTAACTGGAAGGTACAATAACAATAACAATAACAATAACAATAACTTCTTTTGCATCGGGCGATGGTGGTGGCTTTGTCAATAGCGTTCGCCGTAACCGTGTCTGTACCTGTACCTTGTACAAGTTATGACACGAGATCTGAACAGAGTCCCCTACGGTAGTCCAGCCCACCAAGATTCAAATCAGAGTTTTGGAAAGGGAGACGAACGAACGAACGAGCCTTAGGAAAAAGCCGTACCGTACCTAACATACAGTACTGTACCGCAAAATCATCTTGCCGCACAAACAACACCGCGGCAAAAGCATACAAGGTATGGAAAGAAGTTATGGAACAGTTATTTGAGGTTAACCAGCCAAATTCATCCTTGTCTGTTCCGCTTAATTGGTTCCTACCCTTGTACCCGTACGAGTACTTATCTAGCCGTCTCGTAAGTGAGACACCCTACCGCCGCAACATACCGTTCCCGTTTTCCCCAACTTGTAACCGTTTACCGGCTCCCCCGTAACATACAATACTCGTACCGGTAATCCATCCAAAGGGTACAGTAACCAGCTATAGTCTAGCCCTGCATGTTAATTGTACTGTACTGTACTCGTACTTTACGGTAACCCACGTTGAAGCGCGGGCGAGACAGGGTAGACACGGCACGTCGCGGTATTGTCCACCCAGCTATGATATTATGATACACAAGAGTACTGGTACCGCACCGTAGTTAACGGACCATATCTCGGATGCTTTTGATGATTTGCTGCCTCGCGAGGGGGTGTGTGGATGGGGAAATTGTATGATTTTTTTTCCTTTTTCTCTTTTGGTCGTCGGGCGATTGATGTTTGAAATATCAACGTGGTCGGGTCCGTCCGATGCACCGCTTTCTCACTCGCCATTCTTCAAGGATAGATACATCATCATCGGTACTCACTCGTTGGTCCGTTCCCGCCTTGGCGATAGAGATGCGCGTTACCTGAGCCCGACGGCGCACTCCTCCGCGGCGGGGAAGGTGCTATGATAGTCGGGTTGTTAAAATATATACATATATGCATATTTTACCGTCATCGATTAGCTAGCTACCGGTACACACTACCCACGGAAGGTGTTTTGTGCTCGCGAACACAACAAATCACTCGCCCACGGGAAGAGTTGGAGAGAAAGAGAGAAAAACAAGGCAAAAACAAACAAAAAACCTCCCGTGAAATTACTTTTTTTCTTCTACGGTACTCGTACATGTCCCCCCCGTCCACCTTTTGCATGTCTGGATTGTCCCCCGTACCCGTATGAACCGCTGGCTTGCTGGTTTGATGGCTTGGACCGGCATTACGAGTAATTTCCGCCCTGGGATGTCTTGGGCCAGAGTGATTCATTTCCAATCCTTGTTCTTGTTCTTGTTCTTGCGCTCTCGTTTCTTCTTTTTGTGTGATTTGTTTTGTGGTTTGTTTTTGTGTGGTTTGGCTGGTTGGTCGGTCGGTTGGTTGGTTGCCCCATTGTCGAGGGTGAATGTGGAGATGGGGAAGAAAATGAAGCCGTCATTTTCTAGCCATTTTATGGCATCTCCATGCGTTTTGACGCTGTGGGCGTTTTTCTTCCCTTCTCTGCTGATCCAGGTGCGAGTGATATACTATGATTATGTATAATATACGTAAAAATGACAGGGTTGGCGTTTTTCCGGGTCGGCATTCTCCTTCTGTCGTGTGAATGCCCGCATCGCATTCCTCAAAAAAGGAGGATCGAGTGTTCGGGTTGTTTTTTGGTTGGTTGGTTGCCTGGTGGAATGGATCGGTCGGCCGGTCGGTCTTATGATCCATCCATCGGCTATAACGGGTGATCACCGCCTCCCGTAGATTTACCCATGATACTGTGATAATATGTGATAATAAATATCCCTCCATGAAACCATATAGACCATACAGACCATATAGCGCTCCAGAGAGCACATTACCTCCCGAATGGAACAAGACATATTCCACAACTTGGTGAAATTCTTCAAAACCCTAGTATAGTATATGGTAAGATAAACACCAAAAAGAAAACAATCTCCCCCACTTCGCACACCCCTTCCGATATCCGGACGGGGTAGAGAAACGAAAAAGTAACACTTGAAGAAAAAAACCCCGCTTTCCAAAAGAGAAATCCCAATCCATTCACCATTTTCGCCATGAAAATATTCGAACCCAAAGCAAAAGTAACCCCCGGGAAAAGGAGTATGAAGAAATAGAAAGAGAGAAAAAGCAAGCATGAAGAAAAGAACAAGGAAAAAGGACCAAATGCGGATGCGAATCGAAAACTAAACAAGTCGTGGCTAATAAAGAGAATACTTGAGGGAGAAAAGGAAAAAAAAAGGCTACACATACAGGAAGGTCGAGGAGCAATTGGTGTGGGGATGGTGGGCGGACGGATGAAACCGGAATCAACGAGGAGCATAACTAGGAAAGACCTTTCGTCCAGCAATGTCGACGTGATATTCCACTATCCCGGTGTCGGTGGCCACGTACCTACGGGCGAGTTAGCACCAGGTATCGCTCCAACACATGCACACGCCCCCCGTGACTAGTTTTGGAAAGGGAGAGAAGGGAAAAGAAAAATTGCCGCTTACAACTTGCTCCCATCACGACTCAGGGTGCATCCCGTGATATCAACGCCGTCGCCATCGTCACGATACCCGATACCCGCATCATCTGCAATTCCGGCTGCCGCATTACTGGTTGCTGCGCGTCGCCTCAAGTAGCTTTGCCTTCGTTCCTCGGCGATCAGCAGGCTGAGATGGTCCCCACTTCGCTGATGATCCGCCTGGCTTGCCTCGATTGGCCGTGAACTTGGGGTTTCGGTTGGGCTCCAGGTGAGTCTTTGTGGGGCCCCGGTCATATCGGTTGCTGGTGGGTAAGGAGGGGTTGGCAGTGGCACCGGGTATTGCGCAGATGTCGAAGTGGACGTAGACTGGTCAATGTATGATGGATGGGTGGAATTACGACGTCGTGGCGGGTCATAATTTCGTCTCATTGCGCGTTCATGCTCAAGTTGTCGTTCACGGTAATCGCGGAGAAGCGCAGGTGTGGTTGAAGATACAGGAGCGTTGGACGGTTGTGTTGTGGTGGGTTGTGAAGGCTGAGGAGCTGTCGTTGTACGAGTGAGCGGATGTGCCGGAGTATAAGTGGAGGTTGGAGCACGCGCAGGAGTTGCATAACTAGGAGCGTTATTTAATGTTGAAGTTGCCCACCACTCGTGAGAATTTCCTCGTACTCTGGATACGAGATCTGACAGTTCATCAAATCGGCGACTCAAGAATGCGTGAACATCATCGTCCCCGGCCGTAGCCGTAACGGAATCCTCCTCAACTGCTTCTTCGTCCCTTGTGATCCTCCTGCTGGAAGCGCCCTCACGTCCGCGCCAGCGGGGGATATCACCCCCTTCGGCAGATTGGACCCCGGCCTCAACTAGGTCATCCTTTTCCACGAGGATGTCCACAACCTGTCGCTTGGTGAAGTTACTCCTAGCATCCGCGACACATATCCGCCCAGAATGCTCGGCCCAAACCAACAAATCCCAAGGGGCCGGAGAAAACTGCACGCTCCTGACAGCACCCGCATACGTCTTTGGCCGTGAAGAGGGTATTCTCCGGACAATGGGGGATGGACCTCCGGGATAGGCGTTAGGGTACAGGTACCGAGTATCGAATATGGTTATAGAGCCATCCTGTGACGCCACAGCGCATAGAATCGAGGATGGAGAGAAACTTGTTGAAATCAACGCATCCGTTCCGGCGGTCAATGGAGGATGCGATGACAAAACCCAAGACTCAGCACCGGCCTCTCCAATTCCAGTACCAGGGGTCCCCGGACATGATCCGGCAGGGGAAGCCGGGTGGTAGAAATGCACCTTCTCTGAATCTCCTACTACAACCAAATGCTGCCCATCCGGGGATACCGAAGCATGATTAGTAGCAATGCTCAGATGTAATGTGGTGAGAACCTTATTTTGAGCCAGATGGAATATCCGTACCGTCCTATCGTTATTCCTAAATCCAAGCAAATAAACCGTTAGCCACAAAGGTGCAGTAGGGCACGGTATGAGAAAATTAATTACGTGAGAACTGCCAACACATCGTCATCGCTTGTCGACGATGGAGGTCGATGCAGGGTAACCGAATTCACAATTAGCCCCCCCAACTGACTGATTTTTATATCAGGGCTTATCCGCCTTGGGCTTCCAGATATAGACTCCCTGGCCTCCTCCCCTTCCTCGACCTCATCATCCCCCCATCGTTGGTCGGAGCCCTTATCCTGCTGTCTCACACGTATTGAAGCAAACTGGCCATTCTCAACACCGCCGGCGCATACCCAACCATACCTCGCACCTATGCATCTCGGACCGAATGGCAGTGTAGCTACGATCTCGCGTTTCCTAGTTGCCGGATTCAGGGAGTAGACGTTGTTATCAGTAGGGTAGTACAGGGTATTCGGAGCGGGCGAGCACAGCAACGAGCGCAGCTGCCAATGCCTATCAAAGCGGTTAATTATCAACAGACAAGAACAAGAAAGATACTTGCAAAGGGGAGCCCACTTGAAGGGTATTTTAGCATGAAAGAAAGTGAGGGGAGCAGGGAGGAGGAGTTGTTGGCTTTGACTACGGGGTTCACGGGTTAGCGATTTTGTTGCGGCAGCGTGTGGCACAGGAGGAACAGCAAGGAACTGAGTATCGGATTACACATACGCAGGGTCGTCGATGGTCATTATCTATGTGGTATCGGATGAGGCAGGAGAGCTCCGAGTTCTTAAATTTTCAGTAGAATGCGGCTGAAGAGTTTAGTTGAAATTGGGGATAGAGCGTATCACGAGAATGAAAAGGTGTTTGTTGTGGGCGGGAATGATGTTTTTTTTTTTGGTTTGTGGTTTGTGCTGATGTTTGCAGTGGTTGCAGTGGTTGCAGTGGTTGCAATGGTTGCAATGGTGGTTAAATTTAGCTGTGTTGTTGGCGAGGAGGGTAGTGGATGACGAACACACGACAACGGGCGGTTGGTGGTTTGATTGGGATATTGAGTGTGAAAGGCCTGGTTGTCGGTGGCCGTTGCTGGGCTTGGGTGCTAACTGCTGGGGGAATGTCTTCTAGGGTTGGCGTGGGTGTCGGTGATGGCTTATGGGGGGCTAATGGTGATGATGAGTGGTGAAGACCTCTGTGTCCAAATGGACCAAGGAGAAAAAGACAGCAACTTCTTTGCTGTCAGGTTGGGCGTAAACAATAAAAAAAACAGTTCGAGTGGGGGGGGGAGCTCTCACCCCCAATGGAATTTCCGAAGGGACTACTTACTACCTTACCTGGGCTCGTAGGTAGGGAGCTGCGATAGTATTGGCGAAATCTCGAATAAAATGGAGACAGAGAACTCGATATGAACCGATAGTAAAGGGCTCAACTTGGGGTCTCCCGGAAAGCGATAATAATAATATTATCATAATAAATTGTACAGCACGCACAGTGCTTGGAGCATCATAATAAGTAAATTCATCTCTCTTTCTCCCTTTTCTCCTGCCCCCTTCTCCCTCCCCCTCTCTCCCCTATCAGCTCTCTCTTCCTCCATTTCTCGCTTCCACCATTGCGGTACTCCCTCGATCCCTCTCAAATCCCAACAATCAGTAATAAACTCGCTCGGCAGACAAGCGTGTCCCCGTTGAGTTGTTCACACTGTTTAGTACGCGAAACAGCTTGCCCACACGCCCATTACCTGTATCCTCCTCACATCATTAGCCACGAGACCTCGAACAAGCATCATCTTCCTCAAATGTGGAAAATCAAACGCCTTCAACCGGTCCAAGATGTCCCCCCCTCCAGAAGGAAATTAGGCGATTACCAAGATAACTGGTAAATTGCTCGTAACGCCGAAGAGAAGGTTAAAGAAAGAATGGAAAGGGAAGAGCGTGGATACCGATGGTCAAGACTTTTCCCTTACCGTATATACCGCCAACTTTTCTTTTCTTCCCTTTTCTTCCCTTTTCCCCCCTTTCATGTTGAGAGAAATAAGACAAGACAATTCGAAATCTCTCCCGCATTTAATGCACACTGCAGCGGAGAATTTGGGCGGCCTTTTTTCCTCCTCAAATCCCTCTCTCCCTCCCCGCACCAAGATCGATTCTGTTTGGCACGATAGCCGAGAACCCCCGTCTTCTCAGAGGAATAAATAAATTATAATTACAATATCAGACAGCAAACCGGTTCGGTTCTAAAAAAACAAGCAAGTGATCGACAAGGCGGCTGGGTGTGGGGGGCACTACTGCGGAGCTCGTTACTCAAATAGGTGCCGAATGCATTCATGTAGTCTCACTCGCCTTTCGGACAAGATTGCATGTGGTACGAGTAGTGGCAACCGGGAAAAGTGGGGGGAACCCCCATCAGAGCTGTTTAGCCGTCCGCCGTGGAGGAGAAGGCGAAAGGGAGGAGAGAGAGAAGACTTGCAAGTGACGGAAAAGAGGAAGAAAAGTAAAAGAGGGGATCTCCATTGGCGGTGACGTGGGGAGGTTTAATATGTCCCAGGTCATTGTGTTCATGGTTCGTCCGAACACTCTCACCATATGTTGCGCTTAGATGCGCACCGCGCGGTCACGCAGATATTCTCCCGGTTTTTTAGAGGACGGGGAACGGGGCCCGCGGCCCGGGTATCAAGGCGAGCCTCCGTCGAGATGTCAATCAGCGCAACTGTGCACGGTCCCGTGGCCAACATCACTGGCCAAAGAGAGGTGCGTTGCCCTTCGGCCCCCAAATGCCACGATGGATCAAGGAATCGTCAAGTCACAAAATATCACTCGCTAGCAAGGGTTCCATAACGGGCACTTGACCCTTTATCAGCACTTTTAGCGTATGCATTCCGATCATACACGGTGAATATGTAGTTTGCCTTATTACCGTGAATGTTCTAAAGTGCCCACCGTAGGCTAATATTTAGCTTAAACAGGAATGGGGGAGCCATGTGCTGCTTTTGTATTACCAGACTTCGGAACAAGCATCAGCTCCTGTGCAGAGCGATAAGGTTGACAAATTAGGCGCCATATAAGGATGCATCGATAGTGATCCTGACCCAAATGGGACTTAAAGTATTATTAGCTCTCCGGCCGGCTCAGCGGGTGCGTGACGGTGGACAGAAGGGAAATCCGATAAGAACCAGAAACACAATACTTGAGAATATGACAAGTCGCCCGGAGAATCTCCCGACCCAGGTCCCTGGCAATGCCTCCATAATAGCCGGTGGCCAAAGTGCCGTATCTCTAAACCCCACCGCTGCATTTCCGGGTGCCGGTACAGCACCACCGCAGCACCCCAACACACATGCCATGGAAAGGTTTACTCTACATTTACACCACGCTTCATTCAACCCCTGACAACCGGCCCTGCATATTAGTCCCCAACCTTAAATAACCGGCTCCAGGATCACCCGGGATCCGGGCTGGATCTCGGGATACCCGCGGCCCCTGCGGAGCCACAAACGCACACACTTCATTCCTCGAAATAATTCAATATGACTGTGACACAACTTGTGTTTGGAGAATTCGACAATTGAGAGAGGCAAACGGAAAAGAAAAGAAAAAATGCAGATCGTGGGTTATCGACTCCGAGCTGGCGGGGCTCTTCCGGAGATCTACGGAAGATCTTTGGGCTATCATGGGCCTGCTCGTACGATATAATGGAGGCTCAACCGGATATATGGCCGATGGAGTTGGTAGCTTAATCCTTTGACGGTATTTCTCCAAGTGCTACGAAGGCAAGATCCACAGCCAGAGGGGGTAGCTCTAGAGCAGTACACTAGATTACCCAATCCCGAGCGGCTGAGTACAGTACCTGCTTATGAAATTACTTGAGTATAGGGTTGCCGTTTCCTGTGGGACGCGTACCAGTTACCGTCCTTGCAAACCGCTCATTGCTGTAGGCCCCAGTTATCAACTCTCCCCCGCAATCGTTCCTCCCCTGCAAATCCTCAGTCATCGGGACCGAGCCCATAATCACATTCCGCTTAAAATAATAACCGACCTCCTCAGCTCTTCATGACCGAGCCGCCGTTGAGCATTCACGCACTCAACCGCACTCAACTCTACCCGCTGGCCCCAGAAGACCCTGTATTGCCCGGGGGTTACGGGGCACGGGCAAAATAACCGATCAGGAGCCTTTTCATCCCAGCCCAGAACTGCTTTCATTATGATCTTGATATAGCAAGTCCCCTGATCTCCCCTTTTGAACACACTAGCTAGTAACCTAAAAGTATGGACAGAGCCTAGGAAACTCCGCACCTCAGCCGTGTATCACTGGCATACCTCTTCTTGGCTGAATACGTCTTGAGTATGATTGACTCTTACCAAGGAGGAACTATGACTAGGCCGAACTTCGGAGCCCTCCCCAACCCAAACTAATGCTAAGAGATAGAGCAATGCTACCTCTGGAGCTCTTTTCGGAGGCGGGAATATTCCGAAGGAGGATGGGGTAAATTCATACCGGGCAAACATGCTGAGGGGTTTCCCATTCTGACTGTCCTGACCACGGAAATCGCCTCAGCGATCCCAAAAGGACTGCGCCAGGCACAGTACATAATATACCCTACTGGGATTTCATCGGACCTTAGGAGCGGTCGTTAAAGGGATGCCAACCCCCCATTAACCGTCCTCTACCCACTACCGTCGGTAAACCCTTGATTTAACATATGAAAACTTTATCAAGCGGAGAGGATCAATAACCAATAGGGGATCCAGCGCTTCGCTTACAACTGACCCTTTCTAGCCAAAAAACCCAAGACGCTCCTCCAATTGATCATCCAGAAGGGCCCGCTGCGCACTCGTCAGCGAAATACCTGATTATCAGCAAAGCACCTTGAATCCCTGACAGAAACCCAGATGAACCGGAATATTGCACTCTCAACAATCGCTGCAGGCGTCAGCAAACCAACAAGGAAGAAAGGACGCTCCGGAATATAATTTACGAACTTGTACGGTTAGGGCAGCAAAAAAACTCGGCCGCTCACTCTCTTACACCAAAAGCAGCCTGGTGCTGTAAGATCCGAAGTAACCTGAAACTCTGTATGGAGGGTGCCATAATTTACAAGGGATACATGACAACCACCTTTATTCTAGGTTTTCAGTGGTTTCTCGACGTCACGAACCTCTGTTGAAAATTTTCTCTCCACTTGTTTCCCAGCTTGATTTAGTTGGCGTGAAGTTGAACCTCTAGATTCTAGGGAGCGAGAGGATAGTAAAGAGGGCCCGGTCCTAGTGCAAAACGGCCACCGCCTCGAGTTTTTTGTCCTCTGGCAGTACCATACATTACCTGCACGATACGGTAGCTGAAGAGCTGAAAAGCATTATTGCGAGTGATTATCAGTGTAATAAACCTTGGTCCAATGCCTGAAGCGCGCTCATGCATGTGAGGCCACTGCAATCATGGTAGGCCTAATGAACACGATCACTCTGATCTGCCAGATCACGGGTGCTCTACAGCCCGTTTGCGAACAGACGAGCAGAACAGCAATGTCAAACGAGCTGAATTCCGGCTCAGCTCGTGAACGCTGGTGATGGATATGGTATGATAGCTACCGTACTCCACTCGTGGGATGACCCCCACTAAAACCCCTCCCAAACTCTACTCGTATCCCCAAGCCAAGAATCAGCGTCTGATTTCGTCTGTATCAAAGGCCAATTTTCGGCTCGTAAACACGAGTATTGCGAGGAGGGGTCCGGCTTAGACTAGTCTACAGCATCCTTGGATCATCCCAAGACACGAAAGGGGGGGGCAAGGATCCCGATGAAAAAAGTGGCCGACAGACTAGCCAACTGCCGCTTCTACGCGAGTAAAAGACAAACAACAAAGCTTATGACTTCCTTTTTCCTATAAGAGCCACACTATGGAAAAAAAATTACGACAAACACGCTCCAAACGAGGCGCACCGGTAGCCAAGCGATCGATTACAGGATCGACGGACAATAAACCAGTCACGATCCAGGGGCCATTCAAGAGGCTCAAATAGGTACGAGATTACACTATTCTCACCAGAACCACCACCATCCTCGTTTGAAAAATTTACCCGAACCTATCTCTTGCAAAAAAGGAAAGAGGCAAAAATTCTCTTCTTTTCCCTCAAAGCCTCGGAAGCAAACGCCCAAACTTTGATGGAAAAAAAAAAGTAGCCTCCGAAAAGGAATAAATCAAAAATTAAGCAACCCAATAGACCCGAAGGCCTTTGGCAGAGGCTCGCGTCCTCGCTGTGCAATGAGGTCGGAGATCCCTGAGTCTTAACTCTTCATGAGCAGAAAACACTGTCGCTAGGTAAGTATGAGGAGGTAAGAGGGACGTGGGGACGGCGCCATTATATAGTGAGGTCCAGGACTTGGCGCCAAGTGAATTTTCGCCGACAATGCCAGGGGTGGGATGGAGCTTAGGGTTTCGGGTTTATGAAGGGAGGGGCACGAATTGTCACTCGGTTTTTGTGAGACCGGATAGAATGTGCCGGGTTATCGTCACCCAATCATGGAAGAAAAAGAAAAAAAGAAGTACTTGGATGGAAAAGGTGTGGATTTTTTTTCTCTCCTGGTGGAAATGTTGAGGAACTCGCCCGGTTCGTGTGTTAGCCGGTAAGCGGTGGTCGCATCGTGGGGGCTTTTTCGTGCTCTTCTACACTTTCAGTTTCCGTCAACGCCGCAGAGTGGGGGATTCTCCCAATACCAGTGTGTATATTACCGTATTTTTTTCCCTTTCCCCCCTTCCCCGCCCTTCGCGTCCTCCGTCCTCCGTACGTTATCACAGCAGTGTCGCACCGATACTCACCATCACCGCGGAAGTGCCGTACAGTGCTCGTATCATACATACACGAGCGTAAGCTCACTCCGAACGCACCCGGCGCAATGCAATTATCACAGTGCGAGTGACAACCCATGAAAACAGCATTTCTACTCGCGTGGCGGCGACTCCGATTCGTGCGTACTTGTACTGTACTCGAGTACGATACAGCATTTTCCTTTTCTATCCGGTCGATGAACTGGCGCATGTGGCGAACCACGAATAAAATTCCAACTTGGCCAGAATTGCGAAGCGTGTGCTACAGTACCTGTCATATCTCCTTCCACCCGGGATTAGTTTTTGGCTTGGGACAACTGGTTGGCGGGGTTGGGAATGAGGTCCGACAACGAAGCTTCGGGGGGCGATCTTGTACCGTGTCAGGAAACGCTAGTTCTTCTTTGGAACTTGTGTTCCTTGATTCAGAGATTAAAGTCTACGCGAGATGGTGGGTTTCCGCGAGATTTTGTGGATGGCTCGAGCACAGTAAGGGCTAATCTTGGTGTTTTCTTCTTTCTTCCAGTTGATGTGATCAGGAGCCAATCGGAGTGCTCTGGGCTCGCCTCACTTGCACTCGACTTCGTGCACGGGTACTGAACGAGTACGATCATGTTGTGGTACTGAATGTTACCGTGCTTAATAACTACTCGAGTAGGGTAATGCTCGAGTTACTCGTACAGTATCGGGCTCGCTTGTTCGCTCGCTAGATACAGTAATCCGAGCACTAGCGCTTTTATTCTTTCTTTCCAATTATTATTCCCTCGCTCTTTGCACGAGCTCTTGGATGGCTAAGTGAGCTTGCAGACGCCCACTGCATCTCGTGAGGACGTTGGAGTTGCCCCTCCTGGCACGGTCTGTTGCATTATGGTACTTGAGTGTTTTCTTTTTATGATACACGAGCATGATACAAGTACTCATACTTGTCTCAACCGAGGCATGACTGAAAATGAGTCCTTTTCGCTTGCCTTTTCTCTCCCCCCTTGGTCCGAAGGGGGAAATTTTGGACGTCCTACGAGTAGCGTCGTCCTCAATTGTTCCAGTTTTCTGTCCCTCCTACCAGTACCGTCACTCGAGTATTCCTCTTGTCTTGTCCCAACTGTGGTTTCCCGTGTTTTTCCTCTCGCGTAGCCGAGGATGGGGGGGGGGAGAACTCGAACATCTTTGGCATTTCTACCCTGTCCCAGTGTTCGAGGACCGGCACGGAGTTTTCGGAATCGTGACTAGACATTCGTTAGACCATGATATCTGATGCATGCATAGGTGGCACTTTGTCCTCTGCGACGCTCTTCGAACTGTAGCCGGTGGACTGGAGAGAGATGGGCGTTGCGTCATTGGTTTCAGGTAGCGAGTTGTTTTTTTTCCTTTTTTTTTTGTGTGGTACGGGGGGTAACTGTAGGGAGACTACTCGAGCGAGCAGCAGGAGAGCTCTTCACCATGAGAAGCCAACAATCCACCAATCATAATTAGACTATTAGGACTTGCCATCACACTGCTTGTCTCACTTGTAGAAGCCACAGAATTTGGAATATTTCGGATTTTTCACTTGTGGCTTGCGTGTGGAAAGTTGGATTTTCCATCCGTGGGTGTTGTTGAACGGGGGTGACCAGCTCTCTCACCTCTCTCTTGCAACCTATAACTATACGAGTACTATACCGGTAGGGTGGGGCGATCAATTGGTTGGATCCACCATGGAAGGTTGCAAGGTGAAGAAAGAATAATCTTTTGTTTGTTTTTTGGTGAGATGGGTGTCACGAGTGATGTTCAAGTACGGTGTCTTACTTGCACAATATTATTGGGAGGTGGTACGGGTTTAGAGTAAGTGTTACCCGAGAGGTGGGTAAACTTATGGGCTTTTGAAATATATTTACAAGTATTACCCGGTATCGTGGCTAGACTACAGTACGGTACCGTACATCTATCCAAGAGAGCTGAACAAAGGAAGGAAATGCAATTTATCGTGAGCTACCGTGGTGGTGGTCCAAGACATAAATAGATATATGAGAATTGGGTGTGCTGTAAGTTACCGGGAAATGCAAACTATGCCAAGTATCGCGCCGTAGATAGAATTTTTGAAAATTGGAAAAACACCGAAAATTAAACTGATCGATCCGCACAACGATGAACATCTGCCGGGCACTCCTACACATCTACCTACACTCTAGAAATGTACCGGCAAGCGTTGAGTTCTTCACCGTAGATGTAGCAGAAGAAGAAGAAGAAGAGGAAACTTCCTTTGACTCTTGTGTAGCTGTCGGTACTCCCATCGGCGGTAGTGGGGCCAAACTCCCCATATACTCGATATACTTCCGATACCCCCAAATGCTCTCCTCCTCCAGTAGCGCCGTATGAACCATCTCGAGATCGGGCTTGATCTTCTGCAAGCACCTCAAGTCCCCCAGCGTCAGCCTATCGCAGCCCCTAACGTCGATCTTCTCCACCCTGTTCCCCGGCCTCATGAGCAGCTCGTACAGCCATCCGATCCTGACGTCCGGCAGCCAGCAGATCTTCAGCACGCGCACGCTCGCCGGCAGCCGTTTCGACAGGAAGGAGCGCAGTGCGGGCTTGCTCAACGAGAAGCAGTCCAACAGCGAGAGGTGCTCCAGCGCCTCGAACTGGGCGATGGCGCGCAGCGAGGGGTCCTCGATGTTGGAGAATTCCAGGTTCAGGCTCCTCAGCGTCTTCCGCGAGGTCTGCAGGAGGGCTTGGATCACGGATGTGCTTATCGAGGTCTTCGACAGATCCACGTGTTGCAGGCTTCGCGATTTGACGGATAGGAAGAACTGCTCGAGCGCTTTCGCCTGCGAGCGGATGTTCGGGATCGAGGTCAGGGTCAGGGAGCGCAGGTTTGGGGATTGCGACGCGCACTTCAGAAGGGTTAGGATGTGCTGCACGCCGATTGATATGGGTGCGTCGATGGTGAGCGAGCGGCAGTTTGTCAGGTGCCGGTGGAGGGTTCGGGGTACGAGGAAGTGTGGGAGGGACGTGCTGCGGAGGTTGCTCAGGTCTAGCTTGCGCCAGAGGAGAGGGTCGGTGCCGATGTAATACCACTGAGAAAAAAGGATTGTTTTCGGGTTAATATTTGATCGTGTGATTTCTATTTAATGCTAGTGTGTCCACGGGTAGGTTGGGCTGTGTGTGTGTGTGTGTGGTGGTGGTAGTTTCTACTCACTTCACGGCAGATTGACAGACAGCTGGAGAGATCATTGTATGATAGGTAAGAAAATATATTGCTTATGATCTCTGTTGGGAGTTTGGAGAATGAATCCACTCCGGAAGCTACCACCGGCTCCTCCGTTGGCATTGTTGTGGAAATGGTGGTTGATTTGAATGGGCGGTTGAGGACTAAAAGCTCTTCTTGCCCTGGTAGATAACTATCGGCGGTTCTTCAAAGTCAAGGGATGGTGATAATGTTAAGGATTCGGTATACTCCGTGGAGCTTTTTCTCGGTGTTCGTGAGGTGAGGAGGACTCCGCAGTGGTGGTAGTAGTAACATGGGGGGGATTCGGTCCATATTTAAGGATGGCGGTACTCGATGATAGTTAAGTAATGGTGGACAAGCTTGGACACTTGTCCATGTGTTGGGCAGGCGAGGCGTCTGTGGTCAAACAACCCGGAAAGATTGAAGGTGTGAGGCTTCTTACTTGGGTCAAGCTCCCGATTCGATTGGTAGTGCTGAACCGAGGGGGGAGATCTTGTGTGGTGGTGGTGGGAATGGTGGTAGTCGGAAATGCGTTTTGCCCAAGAGGCGAGGAAGAGCTCAGTGTGTTGACGGTTTAGCCTGTCATGGGCTCTGGGAAGCGAGAAAGCCCAGCCTTTTTGTCCTACCTTACTGGGGTGGGTGGGCGAATACTGTAACGGGATGGCACGCCCGATAATTGGCCCTCTTTGGCGAGCGATGGGAAGGAACCACAAGCTACTATTTCTACGGCGAAATCGCCCCCCCCCCACTTATCACTTACCACTTCCCAGTAATACTCGTACTCAAGTATAGTAACACCAGTATTAATCTTCTTTCTTTCCAGAACATTGCAAGTATATTGACAGTCCACTTGGTAGTAATCATGAGCGAATCTCGCCAAATTATTCAGCTTTTGTCCAAAAAGTCATGCAAAGAGAAGGGGCCTGGATGCTTACCTCGTCTTTTAAAACCCCATTAAGCATTACGTTGTACGCTAATATCTTCACCACTATACTCTGCACCGTACACATGTCCACTCGCTTGGTCCTCCCCTCATGATGCTTCATTCACCACCCCCATTGAACACCAAAGAGCCCTTTCTTTTTCCCACCCTCACCGCTGCCTCTATCCCTTCCGTTTTCCAGGTATACCCGAGCTTTGCCTGCCAGTCGTTAGCGAGATTTGTGTTGTTACACGTTTTGCCTTTTCGTGTCCACGGGTTATTTTCGTACCAGGGACTTGGAGGAACAAATACTTGTACTCGTAATTTGATTCCCCGGGTCTCTTTGTCAGGTGAGCCTTGACAACTCCCTTGTCAACAGTGCCCTCGACCTGCAACACGTAGAGTAGGTGAGTGATAATATGTTTGATCCTGGATTATACAATAACGTACGTTAAAGTGCATGATTAGATGTTCTATGCCATGCTTGTCTTTGCGAATGCTCGAACTGCCCAGTGGATCTGTTAGCAAACTGGTTCAGTTTGTGTGCCATATCGTACCATACGTCTCTCTTGGGAAGGAGAAAAAGAGGAGGGAAAAAACATACGCAATTGGCCTGTTCCTGGCCCAACGATTTGATGTGGGCTCCCCGTACGCCTTGATCCTCTCCCCCAGTAACTTGGTGCAGCGTGAATCTGCCTTGATCCTGTTGTGTATGTTGTTGAACCAGTTGGGGATAGAATTGGGTGCAAAAACTTCGGTGTAGAGCATCGCCAGGATGGCTCCCTGCGTAGCCGGATCAGTATCCAGAAGCCGGATCATAATTTATCCCCAGTATTCTATTTTCTTTGCTCACAGTTAAGACCGCCCCAATGACAACTGTCACAAAGCTTGCCCCCGTGCTGGCTGTTCGTGCAAATTTTTGACTCTTCGAAAGCTCCTCCCATTTCTTGCTCGATGCGCTGCTGGACGTTATCGCTATTTTATGCTTTTGCGAATTTGCTCTTGTGTCGCTGAATGGCCGGCGGTGGGCGTGGATTAACGAGCCTGGGACACGGATTGCGCGTATACCTGAGCGCAAAGTGATCGAACGAACCGGAGTTGATAGCTGGACCGACATTGCAAGGAATGTTTTTGACGATGCGATGGTGGCTAGCAGGGATAGAGGGGAGTGTTGGCGGGCGGTATCGTGAATGAAGCACGGAGGTGGGGGTTTTCCTTTTCTGAGGCTCTTGTTAAGGAAGCTTAGCACCGTAATAAGGTGCGGGTTCTCAAACAGCTGCTCACTTTAACCCCTCTCGGAGCTTCTATTTTCTCACAAAGGAGGTGGTTCCTCGGGCTGAGTCATCATAGAAGGATGGTAAAGGCCAGATTTAGACAATCAGCACAACTATCCTTTCTTTCTTCCTATCTCCCCTCACGCGCATTTTCTGTCTCCCCTTTTATCCTTTTTGTCCTGACCCGATTATACTCCGGTACCTGCTTCCACGACCACCATGAGTTTGGCATCTAAAACCGAAGGCCAAAAAATCTTTGAGAAGCTCAAATCAAATCGTGCCAATAAGGTAGGAATTACCGGCCGAGACAAATCTTGAGTTCTTTTTACCTTTTAGGGGCGTGATATTTACTGACAATATATAGGTATGCTTCGATTGTAACTCCAAGAATCCAACTTGGTCTTCCGTTCCGTTCGGTATCTACCTGTGTCTCGACTGTAGTGCTCACCACCGTAATCTTGGTGTGCATATATCTTTTGTCCGGTCTACCGTTCTTGATCGTACGTTTGCGGGTGCTCGATAGAGTTCGGTTTATACGAATCACGTGCTGATTAGGTGTAGAATGGCAATGGGATCAGTTGAGGCTCATGAAAGTCGGTGGTAACGAATCTGCGACCAAGTATTTCCAGAGTCATGGCGGGTCTGCAGCATTGGCATCCAAGGATCCCAAAGTCAAATACGGATCCAACACAGCTACCAAGTACAAAGAAGAACTTAAGAAACGTGCAGCCGCAGATGCACAACTGTGAGTATCCTCCCCACAAGCGCCTGCTGCCTATTCACAAGCTTATGCGCAAAACAGTTATCCCGCAGAAGTGATTGTTGAAGGTGGCGAAGAAGTTGCTGTCCCTACTGAGGCTGAGGAAGATTTCTTTTCTTCCTGGGATAAGCCTTCCATCAAACGTCCAACACCCCCACCGTCTAGAACTGCTACCCCACCGGTGGTTGGTAGGACTGGAACTCCTTCAAATGGCAGTGGCATTGCACGAGCCAAGTCCCCCCTCGCTTCCCCTGAGACTGCGCCGGCCGTTTCTCGTACCACGACCTCCTCTGCCCTGCGAACGAAGGCCGGTGCAACATCTGCAAGTGGACCACGAAGGACAGGCGTATTAGGAGCCAAGAAAGGGCAAAAGCTTGGGGCTAAGAAGGCCACTGGTGGGGATGTAATTGATTTCGATGAGGCCGAGAAGAAGGCGAAGGAAGAGGCGGAACGAATTGCGAGGTTAGGTTATGATCCTGAAGCAGAGCAGCAAACCAAGAAAGAAACAAAGGCAAGTGTCTTGAGCCCTACGCCAGTCACCCCATCATCGCCTACGCATGCTAGACAGAGCAGTGATGTGGAGCGATTGGGGTTGTCGATGAATAAGCTAGGGTTTGGACAAGTTGCAGGCGCAGCGGCTGCGAGTGCCCCTGCAAAGAAAACGGGTGGATTCGGCTCTGTTGGATTAAGCTCCAAGGTTGAGGGTATGGAACATGCAGGTCACTCATTGTGAAAGACTTGTACTAATGTTCGTATAGAAGATGACCAGAAGTACGCACGGGAAAAGTTTGGAACCCAAAAGGCTATATCTTCTGACGAATTCTTTGGCCGTAATACCTACGATCCCCAGGCTGTTAGTGAAGCTCGTACCCGTCTTCAAGGGTTTGAAGGAGCAACTGCCATCTCTAGTAATCAATACTTTGGTAGAGATGATGAAGAACACGATGCCGATGCTGCAGGATATAGCGAGCTCGAACTCACTGCAAGAGATTTTGCCAGAAGGTTCACTGGAACCGCCGGAGAGGATCTGGAGAACGCTGCGCAAGTTTTGGGTCAAGCAGCTGCAAAGGCCTCTGAAATTGTTGGACGATATATGCGATAAATGTTGAATAGTGTTGGTGAATATTTGGTTTGACTAGACGCTTAGTGAAGCGGGGGTCGAGGCATCGTAAATGGTTGGGTTGTGATGGGAGGATTCAATCTTTCTACAGTCTAAGCTACGCAGTGTTTCGGGTGATAATTGATGTTTCCATGGGTCACTTTTCATGTCGCCACACTACCCGGGGCGTTAACTTTTTCCATTACCTTTTCTTATGTTGCGGGGCGGTAGACGGTTGGTGTGGGTTGTGATGGGTTGCGAGAAATAAAAATTGTATTTCATTTCGGTCGATTCCCTTTTGATGAAACCCCTTCCTGTGTTAGGAGGGATGAGATGGTGAGAATTGGGAGTACTGATATGGGATTATGCTTATGCTCATATTGATGAGTGGTGATGTGTCGATTGCTTGTTAAGTTATTCTTGGGACTATGATAGCTGTCTATAGACACCAGATTTTCTTGCACGTGCTGTTCAGTATCCAAACCCCAGACATCTACCTCCAAGCATCAACCAACCTAACAGGCCAAGCCTCCGCAGATCACCAGAAATCACCCACCGTATACATGATATATATGCCCACTCTGGGTGAGCAAATGGCAATTCACCTCTCCTACAACCCATCCTCACCATAACCCCCCTTCCCCCCCTCTATCCCCAGCTGTGATAATCAATCTTTACTACCCAGCATACCCATGATCCACAACAACAACCAGCATCCGGGAACCCTCACTCCTCCCCATCATCCTCCTATATACCTATTAGCACATCCTAAAACTGATGAAAACCGAGACAAGGCTTGGAAAAGGAATCGATAAAGGCGCGAAAGTCAGATCAAGTGTAGGTAGAATAAATCCGCATTTCGCCATAACAATTCTTACCCCCGGAAGCCGAGCAAAACGCATCCGCCGAAACAGAGGTTATGAACGGATCACGTGTGGTGAAATTGAGGGACGAGGTTGGAATTGCAGAACTCTTGTTTGCTCATCATGGTGGGAGGGGGTTGGAGGGCAGGGGGAAGGGGGATAGGGGGGGACTTACGGGGGTTTGGCTTTGCTTGGTGATGGGGTGGTGTTGTGATGGAAGGAAGGAAGGAGGGAAGGAAGGGAAGAGGGACGGATGTTGCTTTAACCTATAATCGGGCAAGGCCAGTGGATCGGAAGTTATGCGGCTCACGGGGAAAAAATTCTGAAAGGGTAAAAATTAAGAAATTAAAAAAAAGAAATGTGGAAAGAGGTATCAGAGTTGATTGGCAAATCAGTCCTCCCTCCCTGTTACCATAACTTGCACAGTGACGACGATTTGACACCTCACCTCCACTAATAAATTAACCATACGGTATCCCCCTGCCAAACAAAAAAAGACCCTTTGAAAACAAGAGAGAGAAAAAAAAAAAAAAAAAAAGTACAAGCGCGGTACATATGGCGCGATGAACGGCTCACATACACCGCCGAGAACTCCACTGGAAGCCGTAAGTTTGTTTTCCCTCTTGTTTGGTTTGTTTGTTGGCTCTGGTTGGTGATTCCGGCAAGGCTGATAAAAATCCAGGATACCTACGACTCAATCCTCCACCTCCTCGAAACACTAACTACCAGCCACTCGGGCACCCGCCTGCAAATAACTTCCTACGAGACGCGGATCAGGGACCTGGAAAACCTAAATTCCGAACTCCTGAAGCAGAATGAGGAACTCCGCTCCCAGCTGCTCCTGCGAGAGCCCGTGCCCGGATCCGCACTCGCTCCCACCACTTCCCCGTCTCCCCCATCGTCACTATCACCGGCGGAGCCGATCGTGGTCACGTCCGATCTGGAGAAGGCGCAGTACCTCCAGGACGCACTGATTTCCGAGCGGGAAGCGTTCGCGACTAGGGAGGAGAGCTTGACGGCCAGGATTTGGGGTTTGGAAACAGCAGTTACAGATTCTCTGAGGGATTTGCTGAGGGAGAGGAGGGCTAGGGAGGAGATTGAGTGGAAGAGTAGGTCTATGACGAATTCGGTAGTGTTGACAGGGATCGGTGGTGGTAGTCCTGCTCGTGAAGGGGGGCTGGCGAGGGTTAAAGGAGGGTTGCGGAGGATGGGTGGGGAGTTGAAGGTGCGCTTTCCCCCTTCCCCCCCTTCTTCTATGCGTTTGTGGGATTCTGCTGGGGGGGGGTTACTAAGATGATGTTGTAGGCTGCGAATGAAGAGATTGAGAGGTTGAGGGAGGAGATCGAGAGGCTGCCTTTTGAGTTAGTACCCCTCAGCCCATATAGTCGTCTGTGAGATTGCTAATGGTGGTGGACTGCAGGAGCACAGTTGACGAGACAGAGGCGGAGGTGAACATGCTCAAGGATGGGTTGAAAAGAATTGAGAGATTGGCGCTTGCATATGCTCCCTTAAAAGATGAGATGGGGTTGCTGGATGCGGTGGAGGTGTGGAAGAAGGAATTTGTAGAAGTATGCAAGGAGAGAAGGAGGAGGAAAAAGAAAGAAGAGAAGCTTGGAACAGGTTGAGGTAACGTGGGGGATTAGTGGTGTCTCAACTCTGATATCCAGGGATTTTTCTGTTCCACTTTTATATTTTGATTTTTGGGTATGGTTTTCGATTTTTTTTTTTTTGCATCCACGGATTTTGCACTGTATGAGTATATCACGATTCACGAGTCTATGAATACTGCCTAGGCATAGAAAAAGAAAGATCTTATGAAAACAAGTCTCTACCTTGGCCCACTACTTAACAATTACTCTTCATCAAGGCATCGCCAGCTCCCCCGCCACAAACAAATAAAAGAGATTTTCCAGGAGAAATAAATGTATGCAGCCATGGTTTTGCCCAAACGTCAAAGAACGACGTTCTATGCAACGCGGTGGAATATGGCGCCCAACTATCTCCCTCCCTCCCCACCGGGCTCAGTCCGAAAACAAACTCAAGATGAGGAAACAAGGGGAAGTTATCAATCTCGGATCTGTCGACGCGGATTTACGCTAGGGTGTTATTTAAAACAAAACGCTTCCATTAATCGCCGAACTGCCAACGGTACAACTGGACCACATCGAACACGAGGATCAATGGGCAGGACCGAAGGCACAAACCCGTTTGTTGGGAGAAGGGGAAAGAAAAAAGGTAGGTGAGAAACGGAGGGGCTGCTTTTATAGATGTAATTTTATGGTGCCAAGATTTTGAGTGGGCAGGGTAAGCCTCTCTCTACCCTGGGAGGTACAATATTATCATAAATTTCTCCCGCGGTTTGGTTTGGCGGGACCCCGAATTGGTACTCTCCCCCACCAACCCACCAACAACCATCGTATGTGGATAATATTATAAACTTCACCATGAACCGCAAGCCGCCGATGCCCCCCCTCTCCTTCTCCCTCCCTCAATTCCTGAAAGGTTTCGTCCGCGAATTCCACTCTACTCCCCTCGCCGCGGCAAAGCCCTCCCGCCGCCGGCTCGAGCACATCCTCCGCAACGTGCCGAAATACCCCTATCCGATAAAGCACACCTTCAAGCAGAGCTGGTTCGGCCTGTACGGTGGGAAACACATACAATTCGGCAACAACGTCCCGGAGAACTTCCTCCGCTACAAGACGCGCAGACAATGGATGCCGAACGTCAGACATAGAAGTGTGTATTCCAGGGCGCTGGGGATGCATTTTAGTTTGGATATTACAACTAGCGTTTTACGTACTGCCCACACCCCCCTTGCTAGTTGCTAGTAGATGTGGAGTTAGATGGCTGATTTTGGAGAGGAGAGGTGGGTGAACAGGGACAATAGATAAAGTCGGTGGTTTAGACGCATACCTCACCGGCACGAAGCCAGCTAGGTTAAAAGAGCTCGGACCAACCGGCTGGCGCCTCCGCTGGCGCGTACTCAATTCCCCGAACTATCAGAGACGATTGCAGGCTGAACGGAAGGCTCTCGGACTCCTGGATGGCCAGGAGCCTGTATTCCCTGGTGCGGGTTCGGCTCCGGCTCCCGCTGGAGCGAATCATAAATTGAGGGGGTTGTTGGAGGACGCTTTCATCGGAGGGGAAGAAAGGGTGGGAGGGGAGGGGGAGGAGGAGATAGCTGTTGTCGCACCAAAAAAGGCAAAGCCGATCTCCGCTGGGAAGGAACTTATTTCGGAATTGGAGAGAGCCAGTGCGCAGAGGGGTGGCGGAAGCAGGGGGAAGAAGGTGTAGTTCACTGGTGTGGGGAGGTTATGGGGGGCATATTGTAGACATTCGCGGTTGCCCTAAGGTAGCGAGTGAAGGAGGGGGTGGATTCTGGAGCAATTGATTTCCTCGTGTATATTCGGTCGACATTGTAAATTTAGAAACATTTGAAATAAACACTTTTCGAGTGATCTTTTACGATGAGGGTCCGAAAGCGGTGCCCTGGATGCCTCTTTGGGGTGCATTAGGATCCTTTTCTTGATACTCAGGAGCAAACAACAAGTTCTTCCAGGGGCTGTGCACCATGACCCAGCGCATTGTTGTCGCCCAGCACATCACAGCAGCTACCAAATCGCCCATCATTCGGTATTAAGGGCACTCCATGAGCCTGGCAACAGAAGAAATGTGCCCCCACAGTTTTCCATACAAACCACCACTTTTCGTACATGCCTATCAACTTAATAAAAAATTTATCGATAGAGAGCTTAATCCAAAGAATTAAATAGTTAAGTGTTAGACTATAGGAATGGTTCTGGATTCTGAAAGGCTTATACTGGGATTACAATGCCATAGGAATATGTTCCAGAGAGGGCTGAATAGACTTTTAAAGAAGGCAATGCCAAAATTCATACTAAGACAGACAATTTGTATGGGATTTTGCATAGCAACAAGTAATAGCAAGCAAGCACAAGTACTGCCACTCCTGAACAAAACCAATGAAGTTCTGGCAATGTGTTTGAGTTGTGACTGTGACTAATGTTAATAGCTTCTAAAAACCAGGAAATAGGAGGCAGCCACAGTGAGTTCTGTGGATGATACAGTACTTGTACTAGGGTCAGAGTAAAATCCTCATAGACATAAAAACAAGTCTCCACACACACTAGTTTTTGATAATAGTGACAGTAAGTACTTTTGGCAAATCAGGTATCAAAGGGTATCCACTTTAAATCAGCTGACATAAATAAAGCCCGTAACATCAGGCATGGTGAGTGTGTTCAAATGAATTTCTATTGGATCTTAAATAGGGTATGGTGTCATACTACATCTTAGTATAATAATATTGGAGAAAGGCCAAAATTTTGATAAAAAGAGAACAGAACAAAGAATGCATTTGGGATTGGTCCTCTTATGCTTCACTTGTCAGGTAGGAGACTTGGAAAATCATCCCCAATATAAGACATATGATAAGAAAAATAAATAAAAGACCAATGATAATAAGGAGGGACGAATCTCTCAGCAAATCCAAACTTGGAACTGCATGAATGATCATATACGGCAATAAGGTAAGAATTAGAAAACAGATTGATCCAACCAGTATCTGTACCTGCCCCTGGAGAATCTGACACAGAGTGTGGATTTGTGCAGTCAGATCAGTAAGAGTGCCAAACATATCAGTCTGAATTGTCTCCACTGCTCTAGTAATGACAGCTTTGTTTGTAGTATTTGGTTGGGATAATTGTATAAAGAAGAACACAGTTGTATCAGTTGCAAAGTACCCTCCATACTCACTGCTAAGGTGTACTCGACCTGCGTATTTAGGATTGATCCTCAATGGGAAGTGTACACTGTGTGGTGAATGTTGGGAAGTGGATACAAATTGTAGTTCAGAATTTCTAGAGGATTCATTGGTGGAGGATTGGTTCGTAAGGTCAGGGTCGTCCAGAAATTGGGCTTCTGAGATCCAGGAAATAGATTCTCAACCTAGTAAGAGCATACAAAGATTCTTCTGCGAAGGGGTGAGAGGACTTCGACTTGAGATTACTATCACACTGGCATTGAAGAGATATAGAAGGGAGTGGAGTTAGGGAAGTGGGCTCATACTAGGAGTTAGAATATCTCTCATGTTTTGAGGTCCTAGAAGATATAGGCTGAGATAGAGGCAGAGCAGAAGACTCATTCACAGGGGAAGGACTGCCCAGAGCCAGGCATAAATTCCAGCCACTAACCAATCTGGGAGAGGCAATATACAAACTTGTAGACGTGGAGTCAGAATAGTACACATGAGACTATGCCCCAGCTTCAAATAAAGTAGGGATAAGAATACTTGTATGAAGATAAGGGGGTGTACCCTGGTATATATGTTCCTGGATATCCTATAGTCCAGAATCACTCACATTCTGAGGACTTATCCATAGAGGATACATGTTAGAGTGAGGATATTGGCTGAGAGTCTGAATTGCTCTGACATTGTAAGGGAATAGAAGAGAGTAGAATCTGGGAAGGAGACACAGATTCAAGATTACTCTCAAATTCTAAGGACTTATCTGTAGGAGATATATATTGGATTGAGGACATCAGGTGAGAATCTGAATCGCTTTGACATTGCAAGGAATTAGAAGAGAGTAGAATCATGGAAGGAGATATGGATCCAGGATTGGTCTCAGATTCTGAAGACTTATTTGTAGGGGATACATGTTGGGTTGAGGATATCGCTGAGAGTCTGAATTGCTCTGACATTGTAAGGGCATAGAAGGGAGTAGAATTTGGGAAGAAGATAGGAGTTCAGAATCACTCTCAGGTTCTGAGAATCTATTTATAAGGGATGCAAGTTGGGGTGAGGACAGTGGCTGAGAGTCTGAATTGCTCTGAGATTACAAGAACATAGAAGAGAGTGGAATCTAGGAAAGAGACACAAGTCCAGGATTGCTCTCAGGTACTGAGAGCATTTCTATAGGGGATACACGTTGGAGTGAGGATATCAGCTGAGAGTCTGAATCGCTTTGACATTGTAAGGACATAGAAGGGAGTAGAATTTAGGAAGAAAACATGTGTCCAGAATTGCTTACATGTTTTGAGGTCCAAGGAGATACAGGCTGGGATAGAGGCGGGACAGAGAACTCATGATCAGGATCACTTAGATATTGTGGAGATGTATCCTGGTACTGGATACCAGTATGAGTACCTTGTTTGGAGAGGGGGGGGATTTGCTCAGAGTAGTATTTGGAAAAGAATACATTGTACTAAGTTTTTGTTTGAAGTTTTGTATGACAGGATCTCTGGATTTCCTCCCCACACTGCAAATCATTACTTAAAGTAAACTGATAGTAATGATAGCCTAGTATTTGCCAGAAATATAAATATATATTATCTTGTAATACTGTATGCAATATCTCAGCCACTGAGATATTCAGTACAGTAATAACACTTCTACAAGGGTTTGCCAATAGTATCATGATTACTCAAATAAGTTTCTGTTGTACATTTTCAATTGGTCTGGAATGGCTCAGAGGCAATGGGAATATGGCCATTCATGCAATTCTGCATAAACTGGTAAAAAGTCCTTCCTACAAAAACTGAAATTGGATATTCTTTGTTCCAAGATCTCTTAATTCTAACTCAGTTTGATATTGCATTGCTGTAGATTTGGGATAGCAAGAGATTTTCCAATAGACTGAGTGTCCATATTCCAGATTCTGAAGTGCTAGGTGTCCTTATTTTGGTTTTTTAATTTCCCTCAAATACTGAAATGCTTTAAGGATTCATTTTCTTAGAAACTCTAAATTGGAAAGGTATGAAATAACTGAGCTAAGTGTTCATGTTCTAGTTTGTGAAGTACCAGGTGTCTATGTTCCTGTTTTCTAATTGCTCTCAAATATCCAAATGCTTTAAGGATTTGGTTTTCGAGAAACTCTGAGTTGGGAAGGTATGAAATAACTGAGGTGAGTATTAATATTGCAGTTTCTGAAGTGCTAGTTATCTATGTTCTGGTTTCTCAATTTTCCTTAAACACTGAAATGCTTCAAGAATTTATTTTTCCAGATGCTCTAAACTGGGAAGGTATGAAATAACTGCGATAAGGCCATAATTGCTTCCCCTGAACTGGATGTCCATATTCTGATTTCCACTTCCACCAATTACATAAATGCCTGAAGAAGTTACAGGTACCGTATATTCCTGCAGCTTTACCATCTTTGCTGAGCTGAGTATTCATGATCCAGTTTCCTAAGTGCTATATTGTATATTCTGGTTTCCTAATTTCCCTCAAACACAGAAATGCTTCAAGGAGTTGTGTACCTGAGAATTTGAATCAGGAAAGTCTAGAAAATTAGGTCTAACTGAATATGGATGTGATAGGATATTTATGATATCATACTGTATAGTATGAGTATAGTGTAAGGAGAAAACAGAGTCAGAAGTACTAATAGCTGGCAGTGTACTATTTGTCTAAAGCATGGAGTTATTGGTTATTATCCTCCATGAGCTGAGTGTTAGCCCTGTGTGTCTATTTCCTAATTACCAATTTTGACTATCAGACTTGTGTAATCTAGTCACTAGAATTTGGGTAGACTATGTCCATCTTGCCAGAAGGTGTGTTTATTAATGATATTATATGGTATCTCCATCGCTTTGAGCTCTTTCATCCTATATATAAGGGACGGTAGGGTTGGGTTTGGAATTTGCATAATAGATCCTTTTGGAGTACAAAGTTTGCCTTTTTAGAGTGTAGAGTTTGCACAACAGCCCAATCCTTACTCCTCAATGTTAGTAAAGAGATGCCTTCCAAGTTTTCTCAATTCTGGTGCAGGATATTCAGTTATGCACAACAGGTATGATACTCTTTTAACTACCTAAAGAATAGGCATCTATCACTGAGTGCTAACTAGCAGTCGAGTAGTGCTTGAGGTGGATATAAAAAGACCTCGATCACTGGGGCTGCCTGAAGCTTAGCAGACTTTTCACAGCATAGGGGGTTGTGGCCAAGTCTGTTGAACTCCTCTTTACTGGCTTTGGGCCACTCAGCGAATGGCGTTTGCTTTAATCTGCTACTAAGAGTTTGACAGATATTTTTCCTTTACTAAATTTTAAGGAAACTTACTGAATGTGGGCAATGATTCTTACTCATACAAACTTGGCCTATGAAATCCAAGTTGGGTAGACTTATTGACAATGTATTGTACCGCTATTTTCACAATTTCCAGGATCAAGCACTTAGGGTGGCCATAAGGTGTGGTTGCCTCTGCTGGGACTACCATTAAATAAATCTCTACAATACCACCCTTTAAGATCACAAATGGACGACTTCACTT